CCCCCCCCCGTCTTTGGGAAATGGTCTGTTTCACAGCTGGGCCCGTAACGTGCCGCTGCCCGGACCGAACCAAACAAATGGCAAGAGGGGTGTCCGGCAGATACCATCCCTTACAGTCTTGTCGTCATTTCAAAGCTCCCTGGAGAGAACAAACACCAGCCTCAGAAACAACTCGTTCATTGATCTGGCGTAATAGCAACATATTTGATCCAGCTACTACTGTTTTTGGAGCTAATTTCCTGGACCCCATCCCCCCCTGTCTTGCGGAATGGAATGCCCCAGAGTGGCTCAAAACAGAGGGTTGCTGGGACCTACCATAGGAACGGGGGGAGGCGGTAGGATAGGAAATCGTTCTGGACAGCAGGTGTTTAGCTAGAGGAGGGAGGGAGGAAGAGTGGAGCCATTTTGTGTAGGACCTGCTATATTTGTAGCTGGTGTTGTGGGACTAGGTTTAAAATAGTACCTCGGACACCCTCCTCCCCCCATGGCTGTTGGGCTGGTCCATGTATATAAGTGGAGCCCCCAGGGCTGGTCTTAGGCACATGGGGGAGGCGGGGCCAGGTTTGCTGGGGTCGTCCGTTGCCAGGGCGGAGGGGTTGGCGGCAGGTGGGTGTTGAGCTGAGTTAGAGCAGTGTGGAGGGCTCTGGTTCTTGGCAGCCTTGCAGGTGGGAGGCATTGGCTGCAGCCACAGACTTGCTCCAGCTGGATAAAAGCCTGCCTTGTTCCCTGTCTTGCAGGAGCGTGTGAGGACCAGCCCCTGTGAGCAAACACGGGACAAAACGATGGCCCCTGCCCTGAAGAGCTCGCGGCCTAAGTACAGCCACTTTGCACTGGTTTGCTGTACCGATTAGTGCGCGGGGTGCGCCCCACGTGTCCGTCGCTCCCGCCTGGGCCTTTCTGCAGAACGGCATCTTTCAGGCATGCCGGCCGCTGCTCCTTCTGCTGCTCCGGCTTCCCAAATGTGTGGGCCGTGGCCGTTGACACGTGCGGGAGCTCTGGGCCTGTGACAAAGCTCAGCACAAACTGTTTCATGCAAGGCGTGCGGGGAAGCGAGTTAACGGCTAGCTTCCTTCGCAGCCTTGCTTGCTGTTCCAACACCCCTCCCGCTCCCAGTGCTCTCAGGAGAGGACATGTTTCCTTGCATGCATTGCACCCTGGCATAGAGAGCAGGCTTGTTTCTGAAAGGCAGAACAGAGCCAAAAAGATGGGTCTTTGCAGTAAGAACTGAGAAGCGGAGCCTGCCTTTCTGCTCCCTGTGAGTTGTGTGGAGACTTTATTTTCACGTTTGCTTCTACCGCAAGACTCGCATAATGTGCCCTGCAATTTCTAGCCGCTGGTTTTTGGTAATTAATGTGTTATACGTGAGAAAATACAGTAGCTGGGCTTTGAGAAACCAGGAAGCTTCACAGTTCCTGCGTTCTGCTGAAAGAAGTGGATGCCGTGCATTTATTCCAAGAGACTCTGGTGCATTTACCAGCAGATGGCAGCAGCTTTTCATTACAGGTAACAAACTTAGAACAAGGGCATGCTGAGAAAAGGTCATGAGACAAAAGCTGGCTCTTTGCATAAGGGCAAGGCTTGGTTCAGTTGCCCTTGCCCCAGCTATTTGAATAAGATCTAGGGAGATACAGGCCTCTGTAAGAGGCCAGATTTGCAAGCGCTCTGCATTCAGCAGTTCCCTTTGAGAATAATGTGAGCTCTTCTGAAAATCTTGTCCTTAATTCTAGCGATGTTGCGGGCTGGATCTCAAGCGATCGCAGGTATGTAACTGAATGCAGAGCCAGGTGCGCACATAGAGGGAGTACAGAGAGCGTGGGCTAGGGAACAGAGCAATATTAGTGCAAAAAGCCCGCTTTGGCCAAGCAGCCATAGCTCCCATTGACTTCACTGGACGTTGCAAGTGCTTCAGTAAATCTGAAAATCATGCCCAAGCAGTCTTGGGCCACGGCTGTAAATGTTGTCTGCACAGCCACTGTGCCTTGGTTCCTTCAGCTTTGCAAAGAGGGTTCTCACACTTCCCCACCTAGATAAAAATGTTTTGAGACCTGCAAAGTGCTATATGAATGTGCAGGTTTTTTAATGTGGCCTGTTTATTCAAAGAACATTGAATATCCACAGCTCTGTAGAGTGTGTGTAGTTCCCTACCTCTAATAATTAGGCTGGGCTGCATAAAAGCCCTTCTTCACATACTGGGTGCGTATAAAACACGTCCGTGAACCATCTGTGTGCACTAGATCCGTCTGCAAGGGGTTTTGTGTAGTGCCCATCATATAAGCATTCTAACTACATTGCAACAAAAGGCACAATCTCCCCCTTTCCATGTCTGCCTCGCTCTCCACTATGTATGGTATATAATCTTTCTGAACAAAGGCATTACTCAGCATTCTATTGACCCTTCCAATACCAACCCCTTTACAAAGTGCTTCAGCAATGGAAGTCACAAATAATTTGGAGGTTTTTGCTGGCCGTGAGGCTGGAGCTGAACAAAGGGAGGTCACTCAGTCTGGCTCCCCTTACCCTCTGTGGAATGGCAGGAATTTCTCTGCGCTCTATAGTCTGGGGGAGTAATGGCATCGGTGGCGGGCTGATTGTTTTTATATCTAAAGCCTATGCAAGGCTGCAGCTTAGTGCCTGTCAGTCGTGGGGGTATTAACCTTAGATCTGTCAGAGCTAATAAAACAAAATCTGCAATGCCGGAGGGGCTCTGGAGTGTGATGGAAGGTACTGGCTGATGCAGGGCACGGCTGTCGAGTTCCCAATCCCACCCCCCTCCCCAGCTTTTGCTTATTCATTTTCTTCCTGTTAATTCCCGAACACTTTGGATGGAATTTTGGCCCCATCAAACTCAATGGCAAAGTTCCCATAGGGTCAAGATTTCACTATGTGGATTCACTGACACTTAGCCTACTGAGCAGCTCTGAAGGATCCTCTCCCCCCCCCACCCCCAAATTATTTTCTAGCCATCCAGTAACACTCATTTGTCAATGCCATGGCAACAGCCTGCTAACTGAGTGTGATCAGCTAATGGTTTGGCATTGACAACTGTCAGCAGAAGCCATGAGACTGCAAAGCAGCATCTGGCTGTTGGAGGGGGCAGTGACAAATGGAGCCGCAGGGTTGCTTACCTAGCCCAGCCCCTGTATTCCCCACATAAACTGTATCGTTTGCTGATACATGCACACGCACGTGCTATGCTGCCTGTAACACACATGCACACACTGTGTTATAGCATGTCAAAGTGTATGCAGACACTGCTGCTACATGGGGCCCACACACGCCTACTCTGTTGTGTTGAGCAAGGATGCATGCATGTGTTCATATATGGCCCCATGTGCTGTTGTCCCACGTCCATGCCCAACATGGCAGGAAGATAGCTGCTGCCTGTGGTTGAAGTCTTGTCTCACCTCCTTGCACACCACAGTTGTGTGGAATTGCTGACGCTCTGGACCTGTCAGATTAGAGGAGACCAGGAACTGCCAGTAAAGTCTCTGTGCCTCAGTCTCCCCATCTGTACAGTGGTGATAACGCAGCTTGGGAATGGTAAACGTCAGTCCAGTAATGCTCATGAAATGGTTTGGCAGCCTGGTAAAAAAGGTCCTAAAGAAATGCAACATATAAATGGTACAATATTGGCGGTAAGAATGTGGCCCCTCATGCAGAGATCATTTTCTGCTCCAGTATCAGAATTACAAGTAAGTGCTAAACAGAGGGAGAGGGAGATATTTTCTTAAACTAGCAGGGAATTGTATAAAAAAAAACCTCTTTAAAAGGCAACCAGAAAAGCTGTCTCTAGCCATAGGAGTTAAAGGGCAGACTTTGTAGCAACAGAAGCACATAGCAGCCTGTCCCCAGCTCACAAACTGATGCTGCTCAGAACTGGATGGGAGGGGAGGGATCACTCCCAGAGTGTATAGCTGTAGCACAAGGTGGATCTTACCTCTTGAGGGCTCCATCTCTTGCAGCATTTATGTACTATGCCATGCTAGTTAGGCTTTCTAGAACTGAGTGCTATTGTCTGGATTTGAATGAAAGATCCTAGCAAGTGTTATTGGAAAGATGATTTCCCTGGATTTGAACTGAAGTCTTGGTATCGCAAGGGCTTAACCTTCATGTGAACAGAGAGTAATGTTGTCTAGTAGCTCAGGAATGAGCAATGATCTTCCCGTGCTTAAAATTCAAGCAAACGCACGATTTTGGTGGTGAAGGTTGAGTTTTATTAATTTTCCAGGGGCGAACTCAATTTGAGAACACGTCTGCCTAAGCAACAGCAGACTGACCTTGGGCAGAGCAGACGGGGTCCTCTGCTAATGTCGTGCAGGCTGATGATTATTCTGCACAACTTTCCAAGCGCTCCAACACAGGCTGCTTTGGAGGTGGACCTGGAACGGTTCTCTGCGGTTCCAGGGCTCCAAGCCCGACTCCCACAGCATGTCAGGGGAGCAGGTTACAGCTCAACCAACTCAACAAAATGTGCAAGAGCCATGCACACCGGGTGTAGCGTCATGTCTGGAGTGTGCAGCGGGCTCTGGAAACAGGCACTGAACGCTGACCTCTGCATCTTGCATGAGGGATCAAGAAGAATCACCCAGCGGCGAAGGCATTCAAAAGAATATGGGTTCATAAAATCATAGAAATTAAGGGCTGGAAGGGACCTTGAAAGATCAAGTCCACCCCCCGCCCCGATTTGGGCAGGAATACTGCTGAGATCAAATGATCCCAGCAAGGTGTCTGTCCAGTCTCCTCTTAAAGACCTCCAAGGGACTCCTTGGGAAGTCTATTCCAGATTCTGGTCACCCTTACTGTAAAGAAGTTCTTCTTTACATCCAGCCTAAAACCATCCTCTAACTGTTTATGACTATTGCTCCTTGTCCTCCCCTGGAGTGCCCTAGTGAACAGTTTTTCTCCCAGCTCCAATTTCTCTGTTTAAGACCTGGGGAAAGACTGGTTCGTGAGTGTGAGGTGCTGTGTTCTCACGGTGACTGGGGCCAGATTGGTAGATTTGAAGAGCTGCCCACCATCAGCCTTAATACCAGCAATGCATGATAATGTCTGAAGTGCACAAGGCATTTCAGGAGCCCGCGGGCGATCCATCCCTTCCGCCTCTGGACTTGTGTGAAGTGGTGGAATTTGGACCCCACCGCATCCCTTAAACCTGCATGTCCCACTTTCCAAGAAGCAGAGACAGCTGGTTGGTGTCTCTTCCCGGTCAAGGAGCCACAACCTTGAACGCCTTGAAAGGAATAGCTTGTCTACAGGCTTCTTGTTTCTGGATCCCGTCAAGGCACTGCGTTTGGAAATCTGGCTCGCGATGTGTGCACTTCGGCTCGTTTTCAAGTCAAGGTCCCAACAGGATGAATGCATCCCCAGGTCTCTCTTGAGAGGAACATCTCTCAGTGTCCAACCTCGCTTGGCATGATCCCACATCTCAAAAGTGCTCTTCCAAATCTGTGGGCCGTGGGTGTTTTCACTAGGGAATGGGAGGGGGAGTAGAGAGGAAACAACATTTTGTTGTCTTTTGTTTTTTAAGTAAACTGGAAACGAGACCCCGGCTGATTCTCAACTTCTTCATTGACTTCTTGGTTTTGCCATCGCTTTCCAAACCCCCAGATCTCTTGGCCTATACATCTTCTGTGCCTTTGTCACAGAGGAGGTAATAGTGTATATTTAAATATGCATGTATATGCCCTGCATTAATTCCCTCCTCCTGTGGCTGGCGACGTGGAGATTTGTAACGGCAGAATGTATTCTTAAGGCATTTCCTGCAGTTTCCTCTGAGGGAATCTTCTGGGCTACAAAATGGTTTTACCTTGCTATTGAGGAAGATGACCCGTGCAGTAGTCCTAGCATGTAGGTTTTTCATCAACTGTTTCACTCAATGAAATGAATAGTTTATTGTTTCTAAGCCATCTCGCTAGAATCCTAGCAGGGATAGGGCCAGATTTTTAGTGATTCAAGGCAGATCATGCAAGTGTGATGCAGCTTGCTGTGTAGGGATGAGACCTTTTGTCTACCCAGAGTGGTGCAATCTCGAGCATTGCTGTGCCACCTGGTTCAAAGCCTGTGAGCCTGGCTGCATGATGTCAGCATAAAAACTCGGGGCACTTTTTCTGGGTGGAAATGTTCCTGCTGCATCTCTTCTAACCCTTGCTTTTTGGAATATGAGATCCATGGGAACTGTAGGAGCCCTCTGCAAGGCTGAGTTGCACCCAAGAAGAGCCGGATTTGCTCTTAGAACCAGACCTTAAGTTCTCAGCACATACGATCAGAGTCTGAGTCTTAAAATGTCTCAGCACCCAATGTGTTGAGTTCTTAACTGTCCCCTGAAAACACCAGCGGGGACATTTCAAAGTGACTGGATGCCCAAAGCCTATTGAGGATTTCCTCCCCCTGCTCCCTTAAACCATGCCATTGCTGCGGTTATCTCAAGCTGTAACTCCACTGTTGTTTCCCCTGCAAATCCTCTCCACCCAGCAGCACTCTTAACTCAAAGGCAGTAACACTTT